GGACTTTAAGAATGAAATGTGACCAAGTTCAAATGTGTTTTCTGCCAGCTTGTGCTTGTCAAGTCAGCAGGTGTCTGTAATGAACGTAATTGTGTAACAATATGACGTTTGTAGAGATTTTTTGTTAGTTGCTGTAGCTTGAACCCTGATCTCCCACATGAAAGCCCATAGAGTTAACCATGAGACCATTGGAACTGTGGCAGAGGGTACTGCCAAGGGCTGATTTGTATGTGTGCAGAAAGAGGCCACATTGCCAATGCAACTGTTGACACTAAACTGCAATATATTACAGCAATAGAGCAATATTAGGACAATATTATAGTAAAGCATCAAAATACAATCATATTAGTATTGTAAACACTGAACTATTGAGATTAAATATTATTAAACTATGATTCAGTACTGAGTAGATACAGCAGGGGGCAGTATTGGACCAATACAAGGCTCCATTGACTCCCATTATAAATTATTAAACATTAATATTTCAAAAACTATAAGTTGTACAGGCACCAAAAGGCATAGCCATCATTTGGCATTGGAGCTTTACAGATACAAATTACAATGGCAGCTCTAGGACAAAGTATGCAGGAGGAGAAGCGTGCCAAAGTGGAGATGACTTGGATGGGAAACAAATCACAGTAGTGTGTATTGCATTGGCAATGCACACTGATGAATGGAAGTCAATTCAATGTCCTCATGAAGATAATAACACACAATATGTGTGTGTTCTAAAATCTRCACCACAAGAGAAAAGCTCCAAGAAGTAAAAATCAAAACAAAGACCCATGGCACAGTGTGGTTCTTGCATACAGAGATTTTAACAAATAGTTTAAAGAATTGCAATCAGCAACAATTAAAACCCTGTGATAAAAACATGCAAAAATAGAAATAGAAACAAACAATGAAYAGAAAAMATGTCAATGATAAAGAMGACRTAGTGAAATTAGTTTTCTTAATGTTTGCATTTGTCTTTGTGACTGTTTGAGCAGTTGGCTTTTTTATAAAAAAAATTGGACACTCGCAAAACTATTGAGCAACAGAATTTTACAGACCTCAGCTGTTTTTGAGCCATCTGTATCCCACCAGAAAACTAACGAATGTTGCTTTAAAAGCAAAGACTAACCTCAGCTTAAGCCTTGCATTTTGTTTCCTTTTAGACTGTGGTTGTTGTTCATAGAACAATAGTTCATTCCGTGCCTCTAAATAGACTGCAGGGGTGTCAGAGCAGTTTACATTGATTTATTCTGGGTGCCTGGGAGGATTCATTTCAGGCACTCTGAATGTTAATGCTCCTAAAACCTCCCGTTCACTATTAAATGAAATGGATTAAATGCCTTTTATGTTCCTTTTGGAGAAAAATAAAGAAACAAATAAAGAAGACCACATGCTAGCATCCAAGCAGCACTCTGCCTGGACATCGTGTTTCTGTTATGTAACAGAGATTTCTGTTCGGATGAGTCGTATGACCTCAAAACGTCTCGTTCCGTTTACATTCTTCCCGCTCCACTGCGTCCGCGTGACACGTGTGAGCGAACCTTGAGGTGAAAAGAATCCATCTCTGAAACTGCTCACGCAGGAGGGGGGRAAAAGTGTTGACATTTGTAAGGTCAGCCATCATCACTCACTGATGCTGCTTCGCTCCACAGGGCAGCTTGGACAACATCAGCATCATCCTGCTCTGCTTCCCTGGAGCCCCCCAGCTGTCAGCAGAGGCGTTACATCAGGAGGCTGAGCTGGAGGACCTGTTGGAGTCCAAAGTGGCAGGTTAGTGAGTAAAAGAGGTTGTGTTGTCCATCAAACTCTTATCACTGCTGTCAAAAGGCGGACTGTATGTTTGTGTGTCTGTTGCTAAAGTATACTGTATTATAAACCAGATGAATAGAAACTTGCTGAAAAAAACATTAAATGTTCCTCTATAGTTCAAGTGCTACTCAGTGTACTTTTTTTTTTTTGTTTAAAGGGGGGTGCCACAATGTATACCACAATCACGTAACTATATTGCCTTCAGTTGTTATAAAAATACTGTATATATCAAAGATAAATTTGACTTTGCATCATAGTCGATCTAAACGCCTTGAATTTGGCCTCTGTCTCTTTAAGAACCTCCTACCATTTCTGATGCTCCCACTTCAGAATGCTTCGGGGGAGGGGAGATCTGTGGGGCTGTGGCTCAGCTGCAGACTGAGCTCCAGGGAGGAGTTTTGTGCAAATAGGCGGAGCTTTGTAGCAGCAAGCATTTAGGCAGCTCCACATGGCTAATTCAAGGATTTCTCAAATATGCATGAATGTGTCAAAGATACACTTTTTGATGAGGGAATGACTTTCTAACAATAGGAGTCGACCATATTTGTTTGTTTGTTTGTTTGTTTGTTTGCACAATATCTTATGAACAAGTGGATTTTCAGAAAGTTTGAATTAGCTAATTGACTTTAGTCAACACAGAAATGACTACAGCTCAGTCAGTTTTACAGATTTTAAGCAATAGTTGAAAGCGGTAGTAGCTGCAAGTTATTCACAACACATACTTTGAGCATTAGATTGCTCGTAATGTTACTTCCAAAGAATTGATGCAAACAGCTACAATTCCAACATAAAATAATCTGACTAACATACTGGCAGGAAAGGTGGCGAGAAAAATTATTCATAAAGACTGAGCTAAAAAAAACTGTTCATAAAAACACATCAGTATGTGTACTTATTAACACAAACACAGGTAATATTTCCTTTTTCAAAACAAGTWGTTAGAAAACAAAGAGCTGTCTGATGAAAAGTGCTCATTTTCTGTAATCTATAATCTGACAGAGATTTATGCTGAGCTATCTGCCAACGGAGAGGAGCCTGACCTGCTGTCTGTCCTCACAGTTCTGGCGTCCGCTGTCATCCCTGGATTACCTCCAGGTGGAGGCATACAGAGCAAGTAAGACATGCAAAAACAACTATTTGCATGTTTACTGTATGTGTGCATCAAAGTTATAACACGAATGAAATGCATTGTTATTTTTATGTATTTAAGGAGGAACTGTATCATCTCTGCTTACTATCAACAAAGAGAGACACACAATCCTGCCGTACCAAATGTAAGAGTGAGTTAGATACCTGCTCATTTAAACTATTTTTTTTTTCAATTTTCTCAGCTAATTTACCTGCATTTTTTCTTTTCCAGGCCCTGGGAAGCTCATGAGATGCTAAAGAGAATGCAGTCATTTTTAATTCAGAGGGACTGTAATTATTGTGAATATTAAATGTGTTTTCCTCTTGTGTGTGATCTAAAGAAAAGGGAACTCTTGAAGAGACAGTGGTGTTTGTTTACATCATTGTGATGAGAAATGCAATGAAAAAAATAGGTCAAACAACACCTGATACTTTATATTTATATAAGAAGGATATTTTGTTAAACCTCCTCAGAGACTGAGCAACAATATTTGTGTATTGTTTAGTGTAAAGACAGTACTGCTAATACATTCAAATAGCAAACTGTAAAACACAAACAACTATGAATAATATTTTTCATTGGATAAAACCAAGAATGTTATTTTATGTTATTGTAGTTTATAGACACTGTTTTTAAAAACAGACATATAATAATGTAAAAATGTAAATTTTGAGTTTTTATTCGGACAAAATAAAATGAGACAAAACTTTGTCAAATCCAGCCAACAGTTAGCATGCTGCTAAATTATGTCCATGATTTGTCCAACAGGAAATGCTAATGGTCAAACTTTACTGCTAAATTTTGTACATTTCTTCAGCTAAAATGTTTACAACACAATTTCAGAGGAATTCTCAATTATTTTTATTGTCATTTTTAATTATTTTGTCTCAATGCTGGGACTGACAGGCTTATGCAGCCCCTAAAGTTACTGCTTTTCCTTTTGTGTTACCTCACAATGCTTTTTGCATTCCTACAG